TCGTTTTGAACAGTCGCCCTTATGTCCTGGCGCAGTTGATGATTTCTAACAACAGCGAAACTCTAGTCCAGTGCTTGCCCCCCCCCCTCTTTGGTGTGGATTCACATGAATAATTGCGCCAGGACAGGAGGACGACTGTTCAAAACGAGAGTGATGTGAAACTGAACATATCATATGTCTTCCTCTGTGTAGCCTTTACCAGCCGCTAACAGACAATTGAAGTAAACGGTGTTATTTAGGGATGGCTATGCTGTTCAACTAGCCGTTGCCAAATAATACGTTTGGGTGACATCCGGAACTTCACAAGCCAGAAAGTTCTGATACTTATGGGACATGCTTTCGAGTAGTTTACACAGATATGCAGCAGCTTTTCGTTTTTCAAAATCCGCCAACCTCAAAATCACAATGAAATTTAGGTTCAGCTTTCAAAAGCTTCTCACTGCCTACCAAGTAAATCAAACGCTTCGTATGTCAAAGGATTTTCATTAGTCCGGACACGACGGCTAAAGAATAGGGGCTACATCGTCCTGGAGGCATTGAGCACGTATTACTGCTAAGAGGTGTGTGGTTCTTGATAATGGCTGGCCGCTAGTTTCCACTCCTTTCAAATATACCACATCTTTAGTGATTTTAGATGAAGACACATTCGTTTGCTACTAATTATGTGGCTTCAGGTGTTCTGAAAAATACCATTTTAATCCAATATGCTCACCTAAACTAGTGTTTTATTAGAGAGGAGTTACTCGCATGTGCTTTAAGGCCGTGCGGATAGCCACAAGCCCCCAAATATTTTATATAACGCAAAAAAATTTTAAAAACGGTATGGGATAAAAAGAGGCTCTCTCTGGTCACAAACTGGACCTCAAAAACTATATTTTGAGTTATTGTTTAGTTAGTTAAAAACTCATTTTTTCGAAGGGTGAATGGTCAGCCATTGGGAGTTTTTAGGATGGTGTTTAATTTCCCGAAAGAGTATACCCTTGGGAGATGAACGTTATAACATGTTCGACGATCTTTGCTTGGAAGTTTAGAAAAGTTGAAGATTTTTCGGCTCGAAGTTCAGGAACGAAACTTTTCTTGCCTATCTTTATTGATTTTCCCCGGAAATGTACTAACAGACAAGGTAATGCGTTTCTCAACTTATCTGTAACCATACATGGGAATAATTGAATGTGTAGGCAGCCGTGGAATCATGGAAAATTGCCGCCTGTTCTTCTTCACAATTCATTTTTCAGGCAAATGATGAAGCATTGGCAAACAGAGATGGCGGAATGATGACCCCTGTTCCCGATTTGCATAATGCTCAACACCAGCTGAGCTCATTAATTACTAAGCCGCTGTATGGATAATAAAATTACCCAATTAGCATTGAAACAAGTGCAATGAATTGGGTTCACTGACAATAGAGACGGTTTTTTGTCTTAAAACAAAAAAGAGTCTTCCCTATTATTCATTTTCACTAAAGTACAAGTGTCAGATGCTACATCATGTGCACAATATATTTCAATCATAACTAACAAAATAGCGAAACATAAGAAAAACCTATCGAAACTCGTGGACCAATCACAAAACTTCTTCTTTAATCCTTGTGAAAAGAGTGGAATAGAATACAATGGATACAATCAATAAGAGCGTCAGTAGGAGGCTTGGTAAGCCGGACTTTACACTCGATTCCATGTGATGATGAGTGATTGTCATTAAATTTCACTCTGTACTTCAACCTCCAAGGGTGTGTGATTAGCCTTAGGATTGAACAACAAATTGGTAGAGGGAGAATGTCCTGCCGAATCTACTTATCACATTCTATATGGGATGCATGTTCTTGAGAAATCCGAACACAACAAAGTCAACATTTAGTTGTGCAAACCACTGGAAAACCTACTGGAAATTGATCCGAGTAGATATGTAACTGCCTATTAATTCACTGTGTTGTGAATTGAGGAACATAAAGACAAAATGTTAGTGGTGACTTCTTTCTCCAGTTGTCAGAACACAAGGCAGAAACTGTGTAACTCAACAAGGGGGAACGAACTAGCGGCTTCATTTGAGTATAGTGGTGAGTAAAAGTTTACATCAGATCTATCTTCCACTTTGTTTGATGCGGAATATTGCTACGGCTTACTATAGGCAAACCAACCCTACACAGTAATTCTACCACCGTGCTGCAGCAAACTTCTCAAAGGTTTCTGTTGTTCACTAAATTGGTGATCCCAGTCACATTTTTTTCGTTGCAGACAGTTGACAATAAAACCAGGCCTTAAGATCTAAAGGACACGTGAATGTTCAGCACCGGTTAATTTACAGCCCTTCTCATGTCCTGACTCAACTATTCTGGTGGATTTAAGCCGAATGTTGAAGCACTGGTCTCCGTTCTGGCTCTGAAGAGGTGATGTCTTTCTCGCTTGAGTGATTCGACTGGTTGGATTCTCCACTTATCATTAAAATTTGCACTAGATTTCAAAGTAATTATATCCGAATGACGAACGCATTTAGCAAGTTTGAGCTCCTGCATAAGACCTTGTTACTGGAGTAAGTGGCGAGTGTAGAAAAAATGTCGTTCTTTGAGATTTTAGGGGATGCTATTGGCACAACTCCGCATTCTTAACAGAGGAAAATGACGCAGGCTGCTGGTTTAGTTCCGTCTGGATTGAAAGCCCGAGGGTGTTTCGCAATGCTCTAAATGTCATATCAGGTGTTTTGTACAAACTCCTGTACTACTAAAACAGCCATTTAGGACTTTATAGTTCCGTTTATATACTTCATCTTATGACATTGTTTTTGTTTTCTCCATCCTCTCCACAGGAAAATAGTTTTAATTTTCTTTAGCTGATTTGACCTTAGGGCTGTTGATCTAACGATGGGTGCAGTTAATTGACTTGATAAAATTCTCAATTATCCCGATTTAGTCCATCGGAATAGAAGTGATCGTCCTGTAATTGAGTGTGAAGGAAGCGAGAGAGAGAGAGAGAGAGAGAGGACAAACGAATTACGTGAACATTGATGAAAAGGTAACCTCGGTTGGTTAACGTTAGCTGTTTATTGGGAGGAAAATCTTGATCGATGGGTACAAATGATCGGGATGAATTTTGAAGCTGTGGAAACAAGCAATGGAAATTGATGCAAAAATGTTGATCAGGGGGCACAAAAGATAAAAACCATGTAAAATTGCCAAAAAAGACGAACGTATTGTTGGTTCACTGATGATGGAATGTACGTTGTGGAGAGAAAAAGTACAGAAACACGATTGAACTTGCCCTCGGCTAACTAAATACACCTTGAGGGTTCTGACTTTGAATGCAGGTATCATTGGGTCACTGTTTGTAAACCTGCTGGTCGCTACTCCATCGTACAGACAAAGAAACGCTATATAGCAATTAAGCGCTGGTAC